CTGCTACTGTCCATCAGATCCAAAACACTCAATCATTTTGTTTTAAATGACTTTCTGTAACTCATTCATACTAGAAATGGAGGGTAGAAGGGAAGCTGGGAGCTGGAGGAGCTGCAGTTTGCAAGTTAGGCTGGATCAGAGGTGAGATGATGTCTCCTAAAGTAGTAGGTGAGCTCTGAACTGTGCAGCAGTTTGTGGATTCTGCCAGATTTTTCAAGGTGTCCTTGTGAGCCAGAAAGTCATGAATGATTTCTTTGGGATCCAGTGAACGGATGTGTTGATGAAGTGAAATATCTCTTCAAATCCTGCTGCAGAAATGGCAGCTGGAGCTGCTCATTGTTTTCTTGCTGCCCTTGAGAAGGATATTGGAATCACTCACCCCTTGTCCACCCCTGGCTCTGGGATCTCACCTCACTCTGGATAGAAAATGTGATAGAATGATAGAAAGGTTTGAGTGGGAAGGGACTTAAAAGTCCATCCAGCCCCAACCCCTGCCATGGGCAGGGACATCTTCCACTATCCCAGGTTGTTCCAAGCCCTTTCAGCCTGGCCTTGGACACTTCCAGGGATCCAGGGGCTTCCAGAACTTCCCTGGGCAACCAGTTCCAGTGTCTCACCTCCCCAGCTGTGAGTTGGGAACAGTCTGGAAGGTGAAGCTGCCTAAGGGATTCAGGTCCTGAGCCTTTGGTCTCCCCTGTTCAAGCAAGGTGCTGGTGGTGGGGCTCCTGGGTCTTTCACACACTCCAATGATCTTGGAAATCATTGTGGGGCGATGGTTGCTCTGGAAATGCCAACCTAGGAGATGATCAGAGATCGTCTGTCCCTCTGGTCTGCTACAGTCACAGCCTTGGAAGCACAGCAGCTCCTAGATGTCCATCAGGTGTGTGCACAGGCTTCTACAGGAACCTTACTTTTATACCTTCAATATTCAAAAGAACCCAAAGTCTAAATATGTCGTACTTAATAGCTTAGTGTTCAATATTCAGGTCTCCCCTGAACTTCTTGCATCAACTTAGATGTCACAAGCCCACATCTTCAAAGACACTTAGGAAGCTCCTGCTTCAGCTGCATGAGACCTCACTTCCAACTCCAGCTCCCCTTGATAAAATGTGCTTCATCACATATGGAATCACAGAATATCCTGAGTTGGAAGGGATCCACAGGGATCATCCAGTCCAACTCCTGGCCCTGCACAGACACTCCAACAATCCCACCCTGTTCCTGAAAGCATTGTCCAAACACTCCTTGAGCTCTGGCAGCCTTGGTGCTGTGACTGCCTGGGGAGCCTGTTCAGTGTCCAACCACCCTCTGGGGGAAGAACCTTTTCCTAGTATCATATATTTTCCTAAGGTATGGGATATAAGCCCTTAAAACAACAGGCATCTCTGTTACATCCATATATTGCTCTGGCACAGTGAGGCCAAAATATCAGTCAAGCCGGGACCACTTCCAGCATTTAAATTACTCTAAACTGGCTCACAGTGCCCCAAAATTAAAGACACTTTGCTTTTGTTCATCCTCTGTCTGCTGAAGCCCTTTTTGTGTTTGGACAACACTCTCAGGCACATGCTGGGATTCTTGGGGTTGTCCTGTGCAGGGCCAGGAGTTGGACTTGATGATCCTGATGGGTCCCTTCCAGCTCAGGATATTCTGTGCTTCTGTGATATTTGCTGCAAAACGTTGAATCCAAGTTCCACCCCAATGAAAGACCCTCACTGATGTTGGGAAATAACCTTGAAAAGTCTGTCAGGCTTTCCAAGGATGGAGAAGAGGTGGCAGGAGTAATCACAGCCTGGTTTACCACGGAGCTTTCAACCTTCAGCGCTGTCTGGTCCCTTCGTTGCAGTGAATAATGTCAAGGCTTTGTAATTGGGAGGCTGTGTGGACTTCTCCTTTTCCAGATATTTTAGCAGCAGCACAAAAATCTGACTGTTCCCTGGAGGGCCACGGTCAGTTCTCAAAACTTTCAGCTTGGAAAGCTGAGTGGAATTAATTAGAGTTTATGTTCCAAAAAGGAAAATAAGACCTCAGATGTGCCTTATTTGCTTGATGTTCTTTCTCTTTTCAGCAGACGACCCTTAGGTGGCTTCCCTTTCAGTTGCAGCTCCTTTGTTTTTTGTAGTTTCTTTCTGTATTAATTAGAAGGTCTGACACTTACAGCCCGAGACATTTACCAGCGTGGGGCAGTTTTAATTAATCTCGCAATAAAGCTGCTTGAGGTGAACTCATAAAGGGTCTCAGACAGCAGGAATAACATGTCACAATGCAAACACACTCTGGTGGGACTGACAGGCTGTGGAAGCTCTTACCACACATCTGTGGTCTCTGGGACAGCAACGCAAGCAAGGTGTGCTCCTAAACAACGTATATCCCACAAACTACCCTAAATACACTGAAAGGAAAACATTTCTGCAAAGATGAAGATCTGGATTCCCAGTAGGTTCCTCTTGATTCTGAAAGGAGCTTGGATTACCTTTGATGGCTAATTAAATAATAATAATAATAAAACCTAGAGAGACCACTTTTTATCTACTCTTTTTGCAGCAATTTGCAAACAAATAGCAAATTTCAGTCCTCTAGGACCTCTCTCTTGTACATATATCATAGCCACAAGTGGCTTATGAGCCAGAACATTCAAACCCAACACCATCAGACGTTTGAAAAGTGCATGTTCAGATCTAAACTTCTTAATCAGGGCTCAGTTCTATAAGACAGATGTAAACGAGCTCGGAGATGAGAAAAACTACCCCCAGCTAATGAGGACAAATCAAGCAGCAGTGTATGTTAAACTGAGGGTAGTTTGGGGAGGAACTGCAGAGCCAATCCCAACTGTGTCCACAAATTTCTAATTCCAAGGGGGAGATTACACAACCAGTTACATCTGGATCAAGGAATGGCAGGTTGACAGTCTTTCATAACTGAATTATCTGCCTCTTCTTGGAGTACTCTGGTGGTCAAGCCAGGTGTGATCCAGGAAAACTAACACACAATATATTTTTCTTAGGTGGAAGAAAGAGGTGGGAGTGGCTGACATAATAAATTATAAGGTCTGCAACTCTTGATATATTCTTGTAAAAAAATTCTATGTATTTTTGGAAGTTGGATGCAACACGGACTGTTGGGCTCAACAAGTCTAATTGGGTGTAATCCTGGAGCACAACATTTATATTTGATGAGCATTTTGATACCTTCTTGACCTGAAGCTTAAGGAAGCTGGAACAACTGCATTGATGGCCAAACCATTTCACCTTCGAAATTCTTGATAGAATCATAGAATTTGGTTGGAAGAGACCTTTGAGATCATCTAATCCAACCATTAACTTTTCACTGCCAAGTCCACCATAATTACAGAAGCTTGAATGACTCCATCCCTCTCTTGATCTTCTCACTTTTGCTGCTCTCTCTGTCCTGATTATGTTCTTATGCTCATGGCAATAGATTCAGTTTGAGAAAAGTGGTTTTGTGTTGGGTTTTGGTTGTTTGTTTTTTTTCTCCACATTCTCACGTTTTTCGTTAAAAGCTTTCAGTTGGTTTCTGTGGGTGACTTGGCACAGGCAATGGTGCAACGATAAATAAACCTCCTGATATTTCTACCTGAAGTTTTCTGAAGCTGCTGCCACTTGTCAAAGGCAAAGCTCCACATTTTCAGCTTTTGTTCATAGACCATCAACTACCACGTGGGACTCGTGTATAGGGGTGGGAAAGACAATTTCTGATCCAAATAGAAAAAAGGTCTCCATACACAGCTGGAATTTTGCCTGATATAAATTTATATTTAAAATTTAAAAAAAAAAAAAAAGCCGGTTCTTGGTTCATTCACAGGTGGAATCAGGATGGATCCTAATCTGTCACTTCACAGTTCAAACTCTGCTGAACGTTGTGCCAAGTGAAAAACTGTCACCGGGATCCAGGTGTATCCCCTTGTCATTTGTCACGAGTAACTGTTCTGCAGTTTACAGTTGGCAGTTCTCAGTGGTGTTTCATCAGGATAATACCACACTATATCATCTGAAGGAATAAACTCTCCCTGCTGACAGGAGCTGGGGTGAAGACACCAGCAATTGACTGGATATTAGAGAAGCTCTCTGAAGTTTATTCAGTGGAAAAGAGACTATCAGGTCATCGGGCCCAAACTCTGTGTTTGGCTTCAAAAGATCTAAGGGGCTTGCAAAACCTAAGAGGAATCAAAAGGCACTGGTCTGTGAGACAGGAGGTCAGGCTGGGCAGTCCCTTCTGCCTTTGAAATCTCTCACTAAAATACTTTAATTAAAAAGGAAAAAATGAAAGAAAAATAGATAATAAAATGCAGCGTTTTGGCAGTAGATGGGTGTTTCAGGTCCACATCTGATGCCTTCTGAGCTGCAAAGGCAGGGTGACAGCAAGGAAATAGCCAGCCTGGTAGGCTTGGTCCTTTTCCTGCTGGGAGCAACCTCTCCAGGACTGGGAGAACTGATGGTTGGGAAGATGCACAATGGAGAGAGGCAATGGAGAGTGGGACCAGGAGTGGTGGTGGCAGTGGGGAGTGGTGGTGCAGGAAGTCATGGGAGGGAGGCAAAGACATCACAAGACCTCAGTTCTCCCAGGAAGCCAGAAAGCAACAGGACCCACAACCAAAGTGGGAGAGAGCACTGAGATCCAGTGAGCTGAACTTGCTGCAGAAGATCACACCTTGTTTAGCTGTCCTGAGGTACCAGGTCCCCACAGCCTGCCTGATGTGCTGATTCCCTGGGAAACTGTGCAAGTGAGGTCATTTGGCAATGAAGGGTGGAAGGCCATGGGGAAGAGGGGAAGGCCAGAGGGGATATGATGATCTGGACAGGGATTGCACCAGGTTGAGCCCTGGAGCAAACTGCATCCACATCCCCCAGGCCTACCGAGCTCTGCATAGGTGTCCCTCTGGGAGGGCAGGCACCAGGGGAGGAGGACAGGGAGGGTTGCACCTCCACCAAGTCATTATGGGCTGTGAAAAGCCTGACAGGTTGTCCCCTTTCCTCCTGCAGCTCACCCGGGTGCCCGTGGAGTCGTGCAGCCAGTACGAGACCTGCAGCGAGTGCTTGGGCTCAGGAGACCCTCACTGTGGATGGTGTGTCCTTCACAACACGTAAGTACCTGCTGGGGCTGGTCACCAGCCCAGCCCTGCTTTTCCACCGACCATCTCCTCCCAGTGCCTGTGATAACACAGGGTAGAGATGAAAAATGATGTCTCACCTGAGCCAGGTGAGCCGAGGAGTCCCTCAGGTACCTCCAGCAAGGTCTCTGGGGCTTTCTGGGGAGGGCTCGGTTTAACTGGGAAGGATTTTTTCGGAAGGCAAGGGGAAAGAAGGATGGTAGAGACCGGACAGACCTCCTCCATCACGCAATCCATAGTGTGCTGACTGCACCAGGAAGGCACCTGTCCAGCCCGAATCAAACCCTCCAGCAGCCCTTCAGCATTTACCTTGTTTCCATTCCTTAAGGCAATTTGGCTCTGACTGGGTGCCCTTGTCTCAGCACCTCCAGCTTTCCACTGCTGACCTGAACCTCTCCCCTTATGGATTTGTCATGATCTCCACTGCTCTTAGAGAGGAATCAGATCCCTGTAAGCATCATGGGCTCCACTCTAAGTTAATTTTCAAGGGGACCTTATGGTTTGCATGTTCACCGTGGGAAAGTGTTGGCCCTGAAGTTGAGTGTTTGTCCTGTGTGGGCCAACTCAGCTGGGCCAAATGAGCACAAAGGGGTCAAACTGCTCATTTGGCTTAGCTGGACAGGATGAGGAGAAAATGTGTCTCTGCCCATATTCTTGGGCTTCTTTATAGAAGGGACCTCATTTCACTATTTCATTATTGTGTCGTACTGGCTTATGCTCCTCTCAAGGAGCACTGGAGCCAGCTGTCCTCAGGACTGGGATATTGGCTCACTGGCATTGTTTTCTTTAGGAATTTTAACAATGTTATTGATCTTGAAGTTTCCTCTCTTCAGCTTTTCCCTGCCAGTGCTCTCCTCCTGCAGAGAGGCCTCTGGCAGAGCCGTGGAGAGGGAGGTGTCAGGTTGGCTGAGCTCCTGGTATGAGTGGCAGGGTGGTCTCATCTGCCAAGAACCTCTCAGCAGAGACAGTGGCTGCAAAGTGCATTGGATCTGTCCGCCCAGACGTCTCCAGCTGAGCGTGGCTCTGCAGGGGGCTGTCACTCCAAGTCTCACAGTGTCCTTGGCAGCCTTGGAGGGTTTTTCTGATGGACACTGCTGTTGCAGTGTGTTTGTCTTCTCCTGCTGAGTTCACCTCCGAGTTCTTCCTGTTGCATCGCAAACTCTCCTGGAAGAGGCAGTGATCCAAGTTGAAGTGATGCTCTTGCAACCTCTCCTTTCTAGAGCAGAAGGGAACAAACCTGTGCCATATTGCAACCTTCTGTTAATCCTCGTCAGCTTGTGTGACCCTCACCCAAAACCATGACAGTCTGTTTAATTTCAGATCAGCTCTTAGGGGATACATCCCAAAACATGCCCAAAAACATGACTCATGCTCTGGAATTGTCCAAAGGATCCTTGGCAAACCAATCCTGATTTGTGGCCTGGTCAGTACGAGCCCATAAAACTTTCATGCTGCTGACCTGAGGATATTTCCATTTGATGTACAGTTCTATAGGATGTCTCCATCCCATCTTACCCTGCATCCTTCCTGCAGAACCCCATGTATTTGCCCTCAGTGGAGGACAAGCAGCATAGGAAAGGGTGAATTTGGCCATTGATTGTACCACAGCAAGGCTGGATATTTCATCTCCTTCCATCCAGGGTCAGTGGCAGGGAGCAATCAATACCTCCAGCAATAAATCCCCAAAAGGAGAGAAAAGGGGCACAGAGAACTGCAGGGTGTGCAACAGCTCAATGTGAAGGAGTATTAAAAATTAAATGGCTGGTGATGAGTGGGATTGGCAGCATTGACTTGGTGAAAACAACCAAAAAAATCATCTTATAGACTCAATCCTTCAGGGAGAAGTTTGGCCTCACAGTGTGGACCTGGCTGATGGTGCATCCCTGTGCCCTCCTCCCTCTGGCCACTTAACCTCTGTTTCCTTATCTGGAAAAGAGAAACACCTCCTATTTAGGTGCTTTTCAGGAGGGTCGCTGAGATTAATTCCCTGTGGGGTTTTTTGAAGCAGTTTGAAGGCAAATGTTATCAAATCCCACCTCAGTCTTTTCCTTCGCTCTAGTTGCCATTGCAGTTAAGCAATCTGATTTTCAATCCTAGTTTGGAAGGGGTTTTCAGTCTAGCCTCAGGTGCCTCAGGCTTTCTGGGTCTCAGTTTCCTCATCCTTTCAGGTAGCCCTGAGAGTCAAGGAGACAATTACATCCCGTTCAACAAGTTTTGGTTGCACAGTATATTCAGGGTAAAATAGAATTTTTTGAACATCAGAACATCTAAAGATTGTTTAATAGACTTTTTGTCAAGTGGGATGTGTCACCACCATGGGGAAACATTTCCCCTCCTGACTGTTAACCCTTCCTTCTTCCCTCCCAGTCAGGCATCCCAGGGATCCAGTGCATGGCTGAATCCAGCCAGGCTGATGTGGGAGCTTGTGGAAGAGATGGAGGAGGCAGCTGGGCTGGAGGAACCCATTTGTTAATTGGAGAATGACTCATTTAGATTTCAGAAGCTCTTCTTTTGGGGTTTTATTTCAGTATTTAGTAAACACTTGGGGTAGAGAAGGACTGGGAACCAGACTGTGGGCAAAGCCATGCTGTTCACTCATCTTTTCCCTCCTCTGTAAACCATCCTCTAGTACAAACCTTCCTCCAGCAAAAACCCAGTTGGGCTGGGGGAACCCATTTAGTAATTGGAGAATGATTCATTTAGATTTCAGAAGTTCTTGTTTTGGGGTTTTATTTAAGTTTTTAGTAAAGATCTGTGGTAGAGAAGGACTGGGAACCAGACTGTGGGCAAAGCCATGCTGTTCACTCATCTTCTCCCTCCTCTATAAACCATCCTCCAGTATAAACTTTCCTCCAGCAAGAACTCAGTTGGGCTGGGGGAACCCATTTAGTAATTGGAAAATGATTCGTTTAGATTTCAGAAGTTCTGGTTTTGGGGTTTTATTTCAGTTTTTAGTGAAGACTTGAGGTAGAGAAGGACTGGGAACCAGGCTGTGGGCAAAGCCACGCTGTTCACTCATCTTCTCCCTCCCTCCATCCTCCAGTATAAACCTTCCTCCATCAGTTGGGCTGGGGGAACCCATTTAGTAATTGGAAAATGATTCGTTTAGATTTCAGAAGTTCTGGTTTTGGGGTTTTATTTCAGTTTTTAGTGACGACTTGAGGTAGAGAAGGACTGGGAACCAGGCTGTGGGCAAAGCCACGCTGTTCACTCATCTTCTCCCTCCCATATAAACTATCAAGAGGAACAGTGTGGACTGGGAGACAGGGGAAATCTGCTTCTGGTTTTTTTTTTTTTTTTTTTTTATTTCTCCCACGCCCATCTCTCTTATTTTGGGATTTTTGCTTCAGGGTTGACGCAGCCGCCTTTCCCGGACCCCCATTTCCAAGTGAGAGGTCTGAGATGCCCGGGGAAGGCTCCTCATCCCTCCTCTCCCGGCCGAGCCAGGGCTGTGTGTGCGGGGAGGGCGTTGTGCCAGGGCTCGGGAATCGATTTCCACAGCTCTGCTGTCCTAACCTTACACCGGGAAACTCGAGTCCGCTGAGAGAGAAGGAGACAGACAGACCCACAGACAGGAGAGGGGAGGGGGGAGGATTGATCGGCTGCTGCCCCGAGAAGAGCCGATACAGAGAGCAGGTCACCGGAGCTTTTCATCTCCGTATCTTCGCCCCGATCTTGTCGTCCCCCCCCCCTCCCTCTCCCCGCCGCAGCTCCGCTCCCCTCCCGGGCTCTGCTCAGGGCTCTTTAGGCGGCGATGAATCATTTAGTTGGTGTAAATTGAAAATGTGGCGCTCGGCTGCTGCAGGGGCCTCCCGGGGAGGGCGAGGGGCTGGGCTGGGCTGGGCTGGGCTGGGATCGGGAGAGGAGGAACCAGAGCTGAGAGATGGCACCGAGGTGCCTGGCTGCAAGGTCGCAGCAATGTCACCGGCCCCAGCAGGGGCTGCAGAGGGGGATGAGAGCAGGGAAAAGTTTTCTGCAAGCCTGGAGTGAATTCAGCAGCTTATAAGTCAGATCAGCAGCACTATTCAAAGATGCCATCCAGTATCTGACCATGCCTGAGAACCCCCCTGGCAAGTTGCTTCTGCCTCCATCCATTTGCAGAGTACATCATCCTCTTCCTCCTTTCCCACTCACGTGCAGAGGGGCAGCAATAGCTCAGGAGGAGGGATAAACCCCAGAGGAGGGATAAACCCTTCAGGAGCTGAATGAGCCCTGGCTAGGTCTAGATTGGATACTAGGAAGAAATTCTTTTCTGTGAGGGTGGTGAGATGCTGGCACAGGTTGCCCAGAGAAATTGTGGATGTTCCATCCCTGGAAGTGTCCAGGGTCAGGTTGGAGCAGTCTGGTCCAGTGGAAGGTGTCCCTGCCCATGTCAGGGGGTGGAACTGGATGGTCTTTAAGGTGCCTTCCAACCCAAACCACTCTGTTATTCCATGCACATGCACTGCTCCAGGTGCATGTTGGTCACCACGAAGGTTTTCAGCCCTGAATGGTGTCTCTGCTTGTGTTTAACCCCCCATCTGCCAACAGAATGGAAATCTAGGGCAGAAGAGCAGCATCATTTTATTTATCACTTAGAGACAGGCAACATTTTATTGCAGGAAATACACTGACCTTGCTGGGTGCAGAGGGGACCTGTCCCAGGCTCTTTTGTGTTAGTGCCACTCGTAGATTTTGGCTGTGCTGCCTCGTTTCACCCTTTTTGCAGCGTCCATTTAACTCTGAGAGGAACAACTGAACATACTCAAGCTGTCCTTAAGGGAGGATGCACCCCCAGGCACCAGCCTCCTTCTGCTCTGGAATCTGCCCTTGCTGGTCTGGGGACTCCTTGGCTGGCAGGTCATTAATTGCAATCAGAGAGGAAAACAGTCTCATTTTCTGGGAGAACTTGTGATATTTCAAAACTTCTTTTTTTTTTTTCTTCCCCTGGCTCGTAGTGGACAATTATATTTTTAATAAGAAATGTTCCTGAA